ACTGTGCACCAATAGGAAGTTAGGTATTGATTTCTGATGAATAATATCAAAATATATTTATTTCACTGAACGTGAACATATTTCATGTTGTGCAAATTATTATAAAAGTATTATGACTTAATTAAGTCTTTGTACTTCAAAGCTTTACAGAATAAATATCAAACAAAAAATAAAAATAATTTCAAAAATTAGTGTTAGTATTGTGTACAACTACTCATAAACGATAAATAATCATTTCACATATTATATTAATATATAAATAATAATAATAATAATAATAAAAATGATGGTGTATATCTATTGTACGAGTATATGTCGTATAAAATATTTATCATAAATTCATAACTAGTTCTCAATTCCACAATAGTTTGGAATCATATAAGGTTGACTGTTATAATACGTATTCAAAAGTAAAATTACCGTTAGGCGTATACAAATTTCAAAAAAAAATTTTTTACATAAATAATACTATGATCCGTCTATACGTACATTTTCATAGCGTACCGTTTTTATATGACATTACCTAATAAGAATCTGTGTGAACACAAATAAAATATTACATCAATATATATTGTACCTATATATCAAAAAACACGATTAATTAAAAAATCATTTATCAATTTTAACGAACAAACACACTAGGGGTGTGGTTCAGAAGTATAACTGTTATTCAAAAATGTTTTGCTGTTTATCGTAACGAGATCGTTTTGGGTAATACTCGAAATTGCTGTACCACAAAAGTAATCAACAAGAATAATTTTAGCACATTATTATACAACAAAAGTAATAAATACATGTTAAATGATAAAAAAATGTGACTCATAAATAAGAGTGCTGTTCCTGAAAATATTACATTCTTGAACACTTTTCGTGTCGAAAATATAAAAAAATTCAGTGTGTTATCGTGGTATGTATTATTCGTTGACGATTAATTTGGTAACTGACATATATATTCAAAAATCACTGTTACGAAAAGACGAATGTGATATAATATTTTTTCGGGGAAAAAAGCTATAAAAAAAACACACACATACGCAAATATCCACAACTGATAAAATAGTAAACCGAAATTGATGTTTATTCAATAATTTTAGTTCTTAAAAAAATTTTATCATTTCAAACGGTGACAATATTTTACTTTACAGACTAAAAACATAATATTATTTATAATTTTTAATCTAATTTAATTAATTAAATTTTTAATCACCTAGTAATCACATATAAGTCATACATTATAATATATATACATCGAATCACGATTAAAAGTTTTATTATAATTTAAAAGATATAGACATCAAAAGGTTTAGATTTTGCTGCGATAGTTCAGCAGTAAGAAAGGATACAAAGTACACGTAACATCCGACGTTAAAAAATTATTCCGAACAAAATTGAAGTACAAAATATTCAATGAATTTATTACACGCGCTCTTAATTATTGTATCAACTAAAATGATAAAACATTTCTCCATATATAAGAACGTCTAAACAAGAACTTAAAATTGCATTTTTAATAATCTAATTAGTAGGGATGGGCCGATGCCACTTTTTACCGATACCCGATATACCGATATATACAACCGATATAAAACCGATACCCGATATTATAATTACAAGTAAAAAATAAGTTGATTTTTAATATATTACATAAAAAAATTAACTTTTTTGGCAAAACCATGAACCGATACTAAAATTAATCCGATACCACAAACCGATAAAACCGATACCCGATATTATAATCACAAGTAAAAGCGATTTTTAATATATTACATAAAAAAAATCAACTTTTTTGGCAAAACCATGAACCAATACTAAAATTAATCCGATACCACAAACCGATAAAACCGATATCCGATATTATTATCACAAGTAGTTTTTGCGGTATCGGTTCAAATATCGGTTTTGAAAATAAACCGATACCAAGTATCGGCTCTAGAATCGGCCCACCCCTACTAATTAGTATTGAAATATGAAATTTGCACATTAAACACTATAATTTGTACGAAACAGATCACAGCGCATAACTCGAACTGGAAAAAATATACCTGTGCCTATACCTATACCCGGTATCGGTGACTTTGGGTTATTATATTAGGACTTCGTTTTTCGTCTGCATGCGAATCAAACATTGAATTGTGTAGGTGTTTCTTTTTGTACCGTGACAGATGATAATGTCTGTGCGTCGGAATATAATTTTAGCCATATTTGAAAACCGTGACCTCGGTACAGCCATGGTTGGGCAGTATCAAATATACAATGCATCTTGTATTTTGTATCAAGATACATATTATGTAAATATCATGTGTTTTTTTTTTTTGCCAAAAGATACAAGATACTATTACTGTAAACATTTGTTCTGATTAGTACCAAGAAATAAAAACATTAATTTAAAAAAATTATTTTTACGTGGATTGTATTTTTACGAAAAATAACTGTCCAGATGAGATCTAACCAAAATTAACGATTACGAAAACATTTACTACACAATGTTATACCTTGTAAGGTAATTTGAAAATTAAATTATTGCTGGTATGGTCGTTACCTATGTACAAAATACAGTCATATATAAGTAAAAATATAATATATAAATACAATACAGATAAGCACTAAACTCAAACTTTCGTTCTCATATAATATGAATACACTCCATATTTTTTTTTATAGATATGGCCGTAATCGTAGTAAGGCTTTCCACATAAAATTAAAATCAAAAGTGCAAATAAGTAATTGTAATGTACTATTACTGCTGTACCATTTTATTCGTTCTGTCTTCTGTGTGACTCCGAATGAAACATTTAAAAATATTTTCAAAATTCTTGAGAGAAATGGATTCGGAATACGGTGACGTAGTATATTTCAGTCATGTTGGATGGTTTGTCGTGGAAAATGTTTACAACGATTTTATGAGTTACGTCATGAAATTGACTTGTTTATGAATGGTAAGCAAAAACTAACCAGTAGCAAGGAAAACAAATTTTTATATTAATAAGCTCGAGCACTTGTAGAATACATCATGAAGGAGTTAAGCGTTTAAATTATCATCAAATACTCGTAGTAAAATATTCTTCGAGTTATAAATATATATTTATATATTTAATTAGATGTGTTCGATTTGTTTACTTTTTTTTGAGGGAAAGGGGAGAAAATAGTTTACTGGAATGCACAATTAATTGATCATAAATGTATAACATGATCAAACACTGATCAATATTACGGTAAGCAATATTAAAATAGTTTATATGATAAAACATATACATATATATTTTCATGATCATCAGAAAATAACAACATGTAATACAAATGCATATCAGTTTCATATCCAAACAGGAAACATTTATTATAATGTAATACACACTTATAAAAAAATGTATTATACAATATTGAGTAAATTATTACAATATTCGAAAAAATACATACTTCGTCCGATAAAAGTAATTGAACAAATTATATTCATATATCATAAATAAACGTTTACGTTCTCAATTCAAAATTTTTCATTACAATACTTTTAGTAGACTTTATTAATGAATATATAGCTTAATTAAGATTTTATATGAATATAAATAAATCGAGGAAGTGAAAATGTCAAAGAATAGTTCATGTTAACGACCCAATTATTATATACCCTTTAAATGTATTATTCGTTTGTAATCGTACAATTAATATAAATAAGCAATATTTTCAAAAATCAGTCATAAATTAAATACTCTGATTTTTAATGTCAATACTTTTAAAAACAATTTCTGTATAATAATACTATTATGTATTTGCTGTGTACAAACAATTAATTATTTTAACTTTCTTTGTTGAAATTTATAATCCAATGTAAAAACATATATGTATACATAGCTATTTGACAAAATTTGAGCAATATTCAATATATGACGACATAAATATGCTTATTTCCATGAGCATTGTAGTTCTTATGCAAACAAATATAAAGTATATTAAATCGAAATATTAAATGAACAATAAATTTTATAATTTATAAATTTTTATTTTATTAACTAACTATAGTGGTAAAAATAATAAATTTCGATAGTTTATGAAACTGTTATAATTTTTTGTAACCAGTTGTATAAAAATGATATAAAAGTCAATATGTTTTACCGTTATATTCTTTAAAGATACGTAGATATTTTGAATTGAAAAAGTACTTTTAAAATATTTTTGAAAATAAAACTGGATTAAAAATAATTATTTATAATACGGTGATAACCGTTATAAATCTTAAAATTTGGGTATAAAAAATAATGGTTTTTTTTTTTGTAATTATATTTTGTAAATCTGCCCATTATATTTTTGAAATATTTGAAAATAATTCGATATATATATATATATATTAATTTTCCACGAATAAATATTAGTTTTATGGATTACGTTTTTTTTTTCAGCAATATCTAACAAAATTTATTTTGAAAAACAAATGTGTAAACTAGAAAACAGTCTTTTTAAATTATAGGATGGCAAGGGAAAATTTAAAATTTATATTGATACAAGAATAATTCATAATATAACATCAACAAAACAAAAACATATAATAATATGTTTATCACTAAAAACATTGTCATCCTAAATAATATATAAAGTCACTGTGAGTTAACAACGTAAATAAATATATTTTAAATGTTTTATAAGCTATTAACAGAATATGATAAACAGAAGCATGCATTCTCACTCATTAAGGTTAATACGAGACAATTTCATTGAATATTATTTATAATAAATGTTATTATTAATAAGACTTTTATAATATTAGATTATATAGATTTACGAGTACATAGTACATTTGTATGGGCTATAGTCGGTAATAATATTTATAATTTTTGTCCTGAAATATTACATTTACATATATAACAAATTCGTTAAAAATTTTACTTGAAAATGAAAATTCAACATAGGAAAATTAAATAAAAGCAAAATCAACCTTATATTTTTATGGTGAGAGTACTAAAAATAGTAAAACATGTTTAAACGAATGGCATTGAAAATAATCAAAGGAGAATAGATATATTACATTACACTGATATACTATGAAATTATATACCGAAAAAGTAAAAATTCGATAGTATAAAAAACATATAATTTAATGTTAATTTTTTTTAGCCATCATAAATAATGTCAAAAAAGCGTAACTCAATTACGTTACATCAAAAACACTTAGAATTTAAATGAAAAATAAAATTACGCACGTGCGTTAAAAATTACTTGTTGCACACAATAAGATCTAAATATTTACAGTACACACTGACTATTATAACTAATGTGTAATGAAACATGTTTTGTGTCATTTACAAAACGATAGTATATCAAGATATACCGTACTAACTGTTAAAGTATTGCATACATTACTATGGTAAACGCACGAAAGAGACAACATTAAATGCAAATAATAATACTCTAGCGACAACTTAAACTACATAACATATTATCAACAAAAATTTAATTTGAAAAACATTTTCAATTTATACGAAAAAAGCAAAGCTAAGAATTTTGCATAAAAGTTTCGTTTAAAAGCACTTAATTTGTAAAATTTGAATTATTGACATTTCCTCTAAAAAAAAAAAATGAATAAAATTATAATTTAAAAATAGACGAAAGTTATATTTATAATAACAACAATTTCTTTCACAATTGAATACTGCTCCAAACTCATATTTTCTGACTTAATATTATTATCGAATAAAAATATTAACCACAAAAACATTTTACAACTATTGTCTAATTTGATTAATTTTTTTTATTGATTTTTTAATTATTTATAGATCTACTTTCTTCGATTTTTTGTCCAACGATCGAACTTTATGAAACTCTCTTACAAGTGAACTTACAGCTTCTTCATGTCCTTCAAAACTATCTGCTTTCCGTAACCCATCTTGAAAAGTGTTTAGATCGAATTGACTGCGAAAAGATTCTGGGTCGCGACAAAATTTACTAGGCTCCGGAGTGACTGATTTCTTCCTAGTTGGGAACGTTTCCCACGATCTTTGTTTGCGGACAGGACCTGTTTTTTTGGATCGGCAACGAACTGAATTTGATGTGCGTGTGCTTTTATCACCCTCGGGGGAAGTAGTACGCCTAAAAACAAAAGTTTAACATTAATTTAATGATTATCATTCAAATACTAGTAAATGATCTGTTAATGTTTATCAAGTTTTATATATTCAGACAGGACATTTTTGAACGATTCACCATAAGGAAAAATATTTTTTATCCCAATTATAAATTTTATGCTTGTCATACTTTTACAATGTGATAAACTGATATAACATATTAATTAATATTAATTTACAATATATTACATAAACTAATATTACTCATAAAGACGTCTTATAACAGAAATAAGAATAAAATATAAGTAATAAGACATGATAATAATACTATCTTCTTAATTCTTAGTTCTAGTTCTCTAACCTAAATATTAGTTTGTAATAGTTTCCTTCTCCCTACTCAGTATTAAATTAAACATGGTCAATTATTATTAATCACAGTTGTGCTATTATATGAATAAAGCACTTTAACTATTAAATATATACGTATATTTATAGATTATTATAACTTATAAAAAATGAGATACATTTAATTCACTATCTTGCTCTAATGTAATATTGTAATTCGCTTTATTGTAAAAAAATAATGATTCCCTATGACACAATTTAATATTTTATCACCATAATTTCTAACCTGAATGAAATAGGTTCTTGATGCATAGCACCATCTTCCGTATCTGAATGTGGATAACGTTTATATCTTCTCGGAGCAGCCACGGGTATGGGCATAGGATCTTCAGGTGGTAGTGGCATGGCCTTCTTGTGAAATTTTCCTCCTTGTTTACGGCAAACTTTTGGTTCGCAACTAATGGTTTCAACCTCTCCAATCATTCCTTCAATATACTCAAACGTTTGTTTAAGTTCCGATTTTTGGTTATCTTTGAAGTAAAAACAAGATTAATATACATTAATATAAATATTAACTGGATAAATAACGTTTGTATAATTAATTTTTTTATTATATAAATATTGTTGTTTAATAATTATATATATATAATTACATGAAATGCTTTCACAATAAAACAAGTAGGTATAATAAAATATAATCTTGTGAGTAAATGTAATACTAATATTTAAGCTAATAATTGTTGTTATAGAACAATACATATATTAACTTTTATTTAACTTTTTTTCATATATATATATAGTAGTGTTATAATATATGTAACACTACTTCAAATAAGACAAAACCAATTACGAAATATATATTTGTATTACCTTTATTGTCTTTTATAATCTCAAAGTTCATTTTTTTTTTCAGATGATCTTTTAAGTATTCTCTTAGTCTATCAGACATTTCAATATTTGAATCCTAAAAATGTTTTATCATCAATCGTATTTTTATATATAAAGCTAATAAATATGTTATCATTAAAGTTAATAGCAATTCACCCTTACATGTATATTAGAAGTTGATTGTGCAGCAAGATGTTGGACATCACGAATATCAATCATTTGATATAAAGAACATGCTCTTGTGTTTTTCACGCATTCTTCGTTGGCAACTATGGAACATATATTAAATAATATTAGTCATATTCATAGTACACACGATAAGTACAACTATTGAACCAACCACTTTTCGCTTTGGACCGAATGGGACAATCTTTTATACGGCCTTCGGATTTGCTTCTTTCTCTAAACTCTTGAAACGTTTTATCACGTGTACACACTTTATCCACCTTATGGGATAATACATTTTTTGTAGATTGTGTCTTATGAAAGTATAATATTTGTTGATCTTTTTCTCTTACTGGAGTCTCTAGTGTATTATCTTTTACATATACATTGTCGGATAAAGGTGATGAACTGCTCATGCAGTGTGATTCTATTTTATGGCACCCCATTGGAAATCTAATAAGAAAAATTAAACCAAACTGATCAGCAATTGAATAAAATCAATACAGTGTTATAAAAACATGTGGTTACATATTTATACCATAAGAATGTATTTATTATATCATATTTAATAACAATGTTACTGCCGAATGAATTGTCAACTTTTATATTTTTTAGTTTCTTATTTCATTAATCCATATAATATTAAGATAATAAAATAAACTATACCTTTGAGATTGTTGCAATGAACTTAGTCGATCTAATAAGCTTTTTAAATCAGCCATGTCGTTATTATTTGGCTTAGATGTTAAGCGTTTGACATAAGGATCTAATTGCTGAGCTAATGTCGCCAATTGTTTTACTTCACTTTGTAAATTTGTAATATCAGTCATCTAAATATTACATAAATTGATTATTTACACATTGTTAAATTATAAAATAAATAGTCAAAGTTACTTGTGACTGGAATATATCTTGTTCAACATGAATTCTATACAACTGTTCTTGCCAAATGGTCTGAAAGACTGATCTCAATCTTTCCAGTTCTACTCGGTTTCTTTCTAGAGTGTCATTCAAACGCAGACAATCCCTGATGATATTTTGATGTCGCAAGATCAACGGAGGTACAGCAGGAGATTTAGTACCTTGAAGAGCTCTCACTTCCCTCTGTAGTTCATTTAAACGGTCTTTAACACATCCCAGTTGAGTTCCCAGTTCCTATTCAAATGTATGTAATTTAATGTAATTTAAATTAATCTACATATTATTATACAGTATACATTATGTGTACAATACAACCATATCAACCATTTGTAAACTTACTTTGATTTGAGAATCAAAACTTCGACAATGATTGGAAAAAGGTCCTTCACCTTCTAAAGCTTTGGCTTTTAGAGCAGAATGCTGTCTTTTGCTAGGTAATGAAGAATGTGATAAGTTTAAATTTTCTTTTGATTTAGCTGCTAGACTGCTAATATTTTTCGATGATTCATATATACACGAGTCATTTAATTCTGATTTACCGAACCAAGGTTCCAAACATTGAGCAAACTCCGAACGGTAGTTCGTTTTTATCGTACTCGTTAATAAAGGCCTGTAAATAAATACACTTAATTAAAATAAAATACAAATGAAAATTGTAAGATCAAATTACTTTGTTGGCTGAGGAATTTTGACAATAGTGTTTAATCGATCAATCATTAGAGATACAATCTCAAGAAAATGATATTTATTTGAAGTTGATACAAAATTTCTACAAAGAAGAATGTGATGTTGCAAAATTGGAAGCACTGCACTTAAAGTCAAAAGCTGATTGCGAAAAGCTCTTTCTTTTATTTCATATTGTCTGCAAAAAATAAAAATAAAAATATTGTAAATTAATGAAAAATATAATGTCTATAGCATGAATCTACGACAGTTAACAACGTGCATAAATTTATTACATAATACCATACACAATGAATAAGAGATACTTTGTTATTTAAAAAATGTAAAGATAATACAATTTTTTTGAAAAATAATCCCTAATATTATTCTCAAACAATAAATAGTGGGTAACAAAACAATATAATATATTATAGATCATAACAATATAATATATTATGATCTATAACTTACTAATACATAATTATTAAAATTATTTAATTTAATTTTGTGAACTTCTTTTATTAATAATTTTAACATGAACAATTAATTAAATAACAATTTTTTTTTTATGATATAAATTGGTAAAAATCAAATAATTTGAAGTTCATTTAGTTCATTTAATTTATTACAAAATAAGAACAATATATAATATGAAAATTAAAAACCGTAAATTATGTAGCTATGTTTTTGAATACCTATAAGTTAATAATATATGAGTAACAATTGAAGATAAATATTTTTCTATATAATTTTGCACGAAATCTTAAAATTTTAAAGCTATAATTCAAAGTTGGCATCATTACTACAAAAAAAAAAAAAATTATATTATGAATCTATCTCGTATGTAGTTAAACCATTCTATACCAGTACAGACTAATGAATACAAGTGTATACCGGGAAGTAAATCGAAAGAAGCCTTTAATTTTTTATAATATAAATTAAAAAAAAAAAAAAATAAATATTTGACAGTAACAGCGGGTATCATCTCAACGGGATACCAGAAACTTTTATGTTTATTTTTAATAAGAAAAAATAACGTAAGAAATTATTATTATATAACGAAAACATTTTTATATTAATACAAATTAAATCATATACAGAATTATACTTTACATTACTAGCAGTTAAAATTACATAATTGAATAATAATTATAGTTTAATAAAAAAAAAATTAAATGAACAATTGATTAAGTAATACTTAAAAATGTATAAAATTATAAAAAAAAATCTAAGTGAACACAAGTGAAAGACATACTAGTGTAGAAAAGCATAGAAAATTACTGAAATTTAATAATTTAATTTATCATTATAATTAATATAACCACTTTATGTATTTCCATCAAATTATAGTTAGACAAACATCAATCTTGTTAAATATTAAATGAGGTAATAATTATCAAAATTATAAGGGCTAATCACCTCTCCAAGTGCTCTCGCACAAAAGCACATCTATGCTCTTTGACGTCAAGATCAATCACTATCAACTCAAATATTTTGATAAATTAAACACCTATTTTAGGAAAAATCTAATGTTTATAATAAAAAATAATAATATCTATAATGAAATAAATAAGAAAATGTTTTATACAGTAAATTAAAAAATTATATATGTATTTCTATCGATTCTATTTTTAACTTGAAAAATCTTATGTAAATTATCCGGAAACCGATACACCGTGTATTATAGTGAATAAATAAAATTGAAAATTACCGTTGGACTTCTAAATGCATGTCAGTTTGAATTTTGTTTATAGCGTCATGGAGTGCTTGCACAAAATTGTGTATCGTCAATTTCTCCGTGTCGGTATTTTGTCGCAACTCCTCCAGTAGTGTGTGGCAAGCAACCACGCCTTCTCGTATTGTACTCTGCATATCGTATACAGACTGAAACAAGAATATGTTTAACACGTTGGTATTTCAAACTATCAATAAAAATAATGCAGTCCAAACACTTACTATAAGTGCTCTATCTAATTTTTTCAAGTTTTGATTATAAGCTACATCTATATCTATGCATGCCTTGCGACTGTCGGGAGGCTTTTCACGTACACAACTGGTACAAATCACATGTTTTTGAGTATTTGAATAATAACTGATCTTTTCGTCGTGCTTTGAACACTACGAAAACATATACTTTATATCGTTTATATTTACACACATGTTATAGCGTCGTCTACATATTATCGTAATCGAAGTTGTTTGCTTACTATTTCGGTTTTGTCTGCCAAACGTTTGGACATTTGAACAATGTCGTGCGAAGAAAACATTTTAGCGCGATGGGTGTTTTCACGGCACGATTTGCATAAGGCTTGACCTAAGCCGTTAGTATAATATGTATGAAAATCTGTTGTTTTTTTTAATTTAAATTTTTAAAAATACACTTACCACAAGTAGAACAGAAGTACATCGAGGACGTATCGCGCTTGTCACAGTTGGCGCAAGGAGGGTTCTCGACGTTTACTACTTCGATTAGTTTGCACATCAAATAATCAGGAGGTGGGAGCTGAACGCCTTCTTTCAGCGTGGTATGTGTTCTAGATCACAAATAAACAATTTATAAATGTATCGTTTCAGTTTTAATAGCATTCCATTAGGTAAGGATTGAATTACATTAAAAACAAAAACAAAATTGAAATTGACATATCGATATAAATATGTAGTGAGCCATGGAACACCTATTTAAACTTTTAAGAAAACAATAAGGAATTCTAAAATTAATGCATAAATAAGGAACTCCTTACATTTGATAATTATGCCAGCATAACTGTGGAAAAAACCGACGCGTTATTTAAATCAACCAGTGCACCAGAAGTTACCTGTATTCTGATCTTGATTGTTCATAAGCAGAATATATTAAGCGTTTTGCTACATTAAGGTTTGCGAGTGTTGCCTAACTGCACACCCTGCATCGCCCCCACGAACTAATAAAATTGACTTAATTTCCATCATACAACATAAAATAGTCTGCTATTACTTGTTATCATAAGCTAGTAATATATTGATTCGACGGTCGTTTTTTATAATATATTCTGTAGTCTAACGACAGACGTGTACCGACTCGACTACTCTTTCTGAATTAAGAAATGTATTTAGCAACCGACCTGTGGGCATTGGCGTGGTTATTCTATGCAAATGACATTAAAACACTTCAACTGTCTCTAACGAGAGCGCAGTATCACTCTACTCTTGATCGTCAAGATGCACAATTATCTAAGAATGTATTGTTTCCTTACAGGGTAGTAGTGGGCTAATACATGATTATAGACTCAGCAGGCTAGGCAACTGCTTGCGATCAGGTTAAAAGTATAGTTGACACCTCGGTGCGGGGGCTAGGATATATGGGAATCACATGATCACCGACGTCGAAAGCTGGTTGCCACCGGGTATGACTTATAACAAAATGAGTTGATAAACCAAGGATTTCATTGAACATTTAAATTATATCGCTGTTTTTTTTTTTTTTTTTGAAACTGTACCATATTATATTTCTCGATAAGAGATTTAAACGAATTAAAGCAAAATGTGTATTGACTTTTATTTATTTTTATACTTATGTATTAAATTATTATGTTTATAATGTTTATTTTTTATTATGTTCGTGCTTTCAAGTATTTAATAAAAATTAAATAATTAACAATAATTATAACATCGTAATACACGAATAACATGGCGAAAAAGTATTAAAGTTCTTATCTAACTTTCAATGTCTTAAAACATTTTTCTACGCTAGGATATAAAAATAGAAACTATTAAATCTGATGGCACATTTTAAGCACTGCATACGATTTCAGTGAAACATAAAATAAATATACTTCAACCTTTCACTTTTTAAGAAATTGCCTTGGCGATAATTTTTAAAAATCCACATAATTATTTAAATTTATAAATGTTACAGGTTTTTAGCTTTTTTAAATTAAATTTATTTTGTTTATAATAGTTTTATTCATATATAAAGTAAATTTGAATTATACAACAATACAAAATTAACAAACAATTATAAAAACCAGTTAGACTAAAGAACAACAACTGATATAACCATAATGACAAAATAAAAAAACCATTACAAATTACTTAATTATTTTAAAAAATGTCTACTCTGTAAATCCAAATGAATATTTGTAAAAGCTAATACATGGATTTAAATAAAAAATTTAAATATCGAATCAGGGACTGTAACCGGACCAAAAATAACCGGTTATAGAACCGGGAACCTTGTGTTAATTGTAAACCGAAATCATTTTTTTCAAATGTTAAAAAACCTAACCAAAACCAGAACCTAATTTTTAAAGTTTGATTTCTTTCGGTTTATTTCGGTTATAATTTTTTATTTGTATTATTTGTTTAACGTTTACAGTATTATTTATTATTTAATTTATATTTTTCAAGAATACATGTATTATAAACATACATGATACATTACCAGGGCCGTATTTAGGAATTTAACACCAAGGGGCAACAATAAAAAACGCTTCATTATACCAAATACAAATTTCTACGAGTTGAAAAAGATCTTTCAGAAGAACAATTCGTTGCTGGTGTACACAAAAATATTCTAAATGCAATGTCAACATAAGAATAGATGGTTTGTAGATCTTTAGATTTATCGACAGTACTTGACTGTTAACGATTATGTGTGTGTGTCGTAACGCTGTGATTGGCGATATATATGTTTTTTTTGAGATACACTTTTTACAGGCCCTATTATTTGTACAATTTCGGACTGCACACTTGATTTTACTGTTTTAAATGAAAATTTAGTCTTGCTACTGTCTTAGAAAAAGGAATATATTACATACATACACACACACACACACACACACACACACACACACACATACATACACACACACACACACACACACACACACACATATATATATATGCATTAAATTTAAAAAAATTTAATAACACTCATATTTTCTAGTAGTTAGCTTATTATTTAATTTTTGTTTGGTAGACCGTGGTGCACACACGATAAAACCATAGTGCATACTTGTACATTCGTGGTGCACATAAAAATAGAGCCTGACTTTTTATTTTGTAAAGAAGTTTCACTTCAAAAATATTAGATCATTAATATTGAAAATGTAAAAAATTAGCCGCCCTCTCATATTCAGTCACCCAGGGCAACAGCACCCTGTAGCTCCCTTCCCCTAAATACGGCCCTGTACATAAAATAGATTTATAACACGGATATGTTTTTTAGATGAGTATTAAGAATTGTGAGAACAGAAAAGCATTTTTTTTTTTTTCAACCCGAAGGTCGGTTTACAACTACAATTCTCCATTCTAACCGATTCCTCGCCTTTTCTTTGAGTTCCTTGAAGGTTTTGACTTTTGCATCGATTTGAATTTGTCCTATATACGAGTTCCGCGGGCGTCCTGCAGTTTTCTTTCCTTCTATCATACCCTCCAATATAATATTATGCAATTCTTCCTGGTGTCTCAGGGCATGTCCAACCATTTTAAAAAAGCATTTAGAAAAGCATTATCCTTCTTTAATTACATTGGTAACTAAAATAATACAAATCAAAGTTTTAACCCGAAAACACATCCATGATTTAATGTTATACATAATTATATGTTACCATAGTTGTTTAAAATTTGGTCCATTTTTGTTGAAAATATACAAATAAAAAAACTTTTATCATAATATAACTTTTATCAATATAAATTATATAATTATATAATAATAATTATATTATATAATAACTATATAAATTATATAATTGGGTTTGGTAATTTTCAATTTAGTCAGTTGGTACTGCTTTTTCAAATTTCGGACCTTATCAATTCTCAGGTCCATATAATATTTCGGACAAGTGCCAATCACTGATACAACTGTTTGTTATTGACATTAATAATCACAATCAATGGAATTGCAGATCAATTTCTAAATCAAGTTTAACCCGCCGATATCGGTGGTTTAACAATCTGTAGTTTAACTTCGGTTTAAACCATTGATAATCGATTTTAATACGGTCTTTTAAATTTAAACCAGGTGTAAACTTCGATAAGATTTTAAACTACTATTGTAAAATAGGCCTTTAATGTTATTATATTATTCACATAATAATACTCTACCTACTCTTGTTGAATTTTTCGTATTCTGCTGGCAACTGCGGGTGATAACGATCATCGTTTATGCCGCGTATTTTCACGTTTATTAAATATAGTACATTTTGAATTTTTGTATTAATTATTAAATTATTGTATTATTTAATATTAAAATAATTATGGCTCGCCATACGCAGAATTCTGTGTATGGTTATTTCACGTATGACGAAATATTGAAAAAGTCAAAGTGCAAAAGTTGTGGATCAACATTGACTAAAAGCATCCATTAAATTATAAATTATAACATTTATATTTTATACACAATACTTAGAATAGTGGTGTAAATTAACCTGTGGATTTATAGCACTACATTACCAGTACCTAAATTCTAATTTTTTAAGTTTAAAACGTTTATCTGTAGGCACCTACTTATAATTTCTAATTCCAAAACTTTAGTAAGAATTTGAATATTAGGTACAAAATTGTAAATTGTTGTTACGTACTATATAAAAATGAAATTGTTAGATGTAGAAATACCTGCCACTGTGGGCCAAAGAAAAGCAAGCCATACTACAGATCTAACATCTTCAAAACGGAAAAAATAAATAAAATTTAGTTGTTATGTTATATAAGTCTCAACCTAAATCATAACACTCTCAAAGTTGGAAATTATAATACATGTACAATGATATAATGTACTTAATACTTAATATATATAGTAGGTATTAATGAAAGAAAAATAGAAATTAGTTTTAAAATTAGGTTACAAAGGATAACATAAAGACGTATACACATAAAGTAGGTTATACGGTTAAAATCACTTTAAATTCTAATTTAAAAATATTATTTGATAACCGGTATTAACCATAACTGTAATTTCAGTTTCATATTTTTATGATTTATGATTTAAACCGAAACCTTGGGAATTTTTTTTCTGAAACCTAACCAAAACCGAAACCCGAAAAAACATAAAGGTTACAATCCCTGTATCGAATATTATGAATTCAGTTGTTTAGTCATTTTTAATAAGGAAACTTAAATGAAATTCAATACTGAATTTTAATTACCCAATTTGTTTCATGTCTAAATTATTCACTTTTTGCATTCAGGTAATTAATTTTTATTTATTTTAAAATGATTGTGATAATTTTTTTTGTTTTTTGTTTTTATTATTATTTTCCACTTAAAATACTTGTGTTTAGTAACTGAAATGTAGAGATGATTTTGAAGTACGTATACTTGTACAGAATCCTTGAAAAATCCATAGAGAGATAAGTACTTACTGTGCTGTATCATCGACATAAGTAGTTATGGTTTTCCACTTCGATATATAAGCAACCAAAACCAAGTACTTTGGAACAAAATTAAGTTATATTTTATTGAAGTTATAGAAATTAAAATTGTTATAAGTTCACCATATTGTGTAAATGATAAAATATATACTAATAGTAATTTTAATTTTATAAGACTTATACTCTTGATCACATTTTTACCTCAGGAAATATATACTATGTACATACATAATATCCCATAATATATAATATTTATAGTCACGTATATAAAGATGAGTAGTGTTACGTTTTATTAGTAGTTTTTTTTTATCCAAGTCGTCTCGTATATAAAATATACATAATATATAAAAAAAAAAATGAACTATAACATCAAAGAATTGATGAAATGTATTTATAATAATAATTTTTAGATGGTTAACAGAAAATTTTACACGAAAAGAGAATAAATGTATCAACAAAATTATTTTGAAAATAATTCATTCAAAAACAATGAAAATAAAGGCAAAGAAGAGGTATTTCATAAAGAAGTATAAAAATATACAAATACCCATTAATTAAGATAAAAATCTATATCAATTTGCTATTGATCAACAAGTTAATAATCTTCTTAAAACAGTTTCTTCAATTAAACAATAAACAAAAGGAAAAATAACAGCAATAGTGACAAAATAAAAAACAATTAATGATTTCTGGAAAAGCTAAATGTTTAAGTTTAACTACCTTCATATGTATTATGTAATTATAAAATAAGTCTATAGTTAATTAAAAATTAAATAATAAAAATTATAAATATTTCAAACTTATTTTATAATATTAAAAATACAATTTAGAATCGACTTGATAATTTAGAACATCTGTTTTATTCGATAAAGTAAAACATTGCTTGGAGTTGAATTTTCGGTTAGTTTCATGCTATTCTGGATTAGAAAGTTTTAACTATATTATACAGTATTTTAAAAACATATTCTAATTGTACATTAATGTTTATGCTATGTGGCATCAAATCTTATAAATATATAGAAGATTTGTATATACATAACTGCAGTAGCAAATGTTTATTTTAGTAAGAACATAATTTAAAAAGTTTGCTGGTCACTACTCACTGCTCAAGGGTTAAATTAAAAATATTTTTAACATAGAAAAAAGTTTTTTCTCAATAACTAAGCAATAATATTAAAAGAAGTACGAGATATTATTCGATATTTTTATTTTTTATATTTATTTTTCGTAAGAATCTTAAGCAACAAAATGTTTTAAAGATTAAAAAGTTGAAATAAAAAATTTAAATTAATGAAGTAGATATTTTGAATGATTTTGAAAAATGAAACTTGTGTAACACATTTTGAAATATATACATATATACATAAATATATACATCTTGCAAGTTGTAATAATCCATTTCTATTGATATTAAAACAATGGGTAACCTCTAGGATCAAGTCTAAGTTTCACCCTTTTTACAATATCTACAAGCGATTTACATAGTATATTACCAGCTCCCCTAAAAACCATTATGTTTGCGGACGACACCGGCATATACTGCAGAGGAAGAAATATAAACACGTCAAAAACCCTAATGGAAAACGCTTTCAAAGTAATTAACAAATGGGAAAAATCTACGGGGTTCAAATTTGGTCCAGCCAAATTCAAGTGTACCTACCATTCTCACGCAAAAAATTTAAACCTTCCACGTTTGTAAATACGAAAAAATAACATCCTAATATATCCTAGAAATTACCTAAAAATCTTAGGATTATATTTAAACAATCAACTGAATTGATCTAAATTTATTGTTATAAAATTGAAATTTGTTTCTAAAGCTACCTAAAATATACTCTATTTGTCTATACATATGGCTATGTGCCCCCTTCCACCGTTAAACATTTCTGGATCCGACCCTGACTGTAATGAAGTTGAAGCATATGCATCACACATATGGTGCATTGATGGCAAATATTATGGGTGTAAGGGTTGATTGAAAAATACAATAGTAAACCAACTTGATCATAAGTTTTTCTAGTAAGACAAATATTATTATGTAGCATGTACAACATTACCATTGCCAAGCCCTAGAGTGATATAACTTGGAAGAAATTCTGTGGCGGAAGCGAGGAAAATTTTTTTTAAGCCAAAAAGTACGACAATATATTTATTATTCGGAACTAAAAAAAAAAAATGTTCTCGTTCGATACTATCGTGTATCGAACTGTAATTTTTTAGATAATAATAATATTAATTATCATTTAATATGTGCAATATGCGTCCACGAACATACATACTGGTGAAATGGAAATTAAATGTAGAATTAAGACATTCCATTTAGACCGAAGCCACCGAATGATTATTTCTGCTATTAGATATTTTTTTTCGCTCAACTATAATTTAACTTCAGTATCTATATCTCGTGAATTAAGCCAATAAATATGTTTTAATTTTACAATTAATTTAACATATTACTATTATTTACTACTGGGCAGAAGCTTTACACTGAAGTTCAATCGAAGTTTAACATATCATTATTTACACCTAATACTTTTGAAAAATATTCATTAGTTTTAACAAAAACAATACACTATCAAATTATCTATTACTTCTTACTCTTTAATGTTAGTTCATAAACGTAAACAGAATTACTATTTCTTGACTGTGGTCACTAATCAGTGTCGAATTTAAGTCTCAAAAACCTACCCTAAGCTAGGCAACTACTCAGGCCTCTTTAGAAAATAAAATTGAACAATAAAATACATTGTACGATTGTCAGTGCTGGCCCAAAGGTTTTCGGGGCCCAGTACAGAATTTTGCGGGGCCCCATACAAATATATTAATTTATTAATTGTTTATATAAATCTGTTTTTTCGTATTATATAACTAAATATATACTATAACTGTATTTCGAACTGTCGTCGACGATAAACAAGCGCATGCGTGTATAATACTTCAAAGCTATGCGTAATTAGTACCATCTTAATTTTCATCGATAACAACCCATTTACTGAGAAGACCACACGACTACGAGGGCGGCGATTAGCGTACTGGGACTATATTATTTTTATTTACAAATAAAGTAATAATCGTAATATATAATTTATGGGACCCCAAGGACGTATTTAGATATTTTTTTTTTTTTTTGGAGGGGGGCTGTGGTATTTTCTCTAACTGAAATTCTCCAAATCAAGCCTATTAAAAACAAAAGTTGGAAAATTATTATACAAAATTTACCTATAATAGCGAAAACAAGTAAAAATTATACGACGTAAACCTATCACCGTGATAGTGTTATCGTTCGTCGCCGTCATTTCTCAGAAATCTTTTAGCTCATAGGGATTCGTATAAAAATTGTACGGTGATTGAGACGCCACAACGCGTGTATATCAGTAAATCAATTCTAGGTAAAAGAAATCGAAATTACGATAATGCAGTACTGTACGTCAAAATTAAGCACAATGTACCGATCTCAATGGTATAATCGTTACGATCAAAATCGTCAGGCCCTTAACATGAATAACTTGTTCGTTGTTACTAATAATTCTTTATAAAATTATATTGAACTTTTACGATTTACATCTGATAGGACATAATAAGCAGATTTAATTAACAATTCCTGGATTTCGGGGAGGGGGACCCCTTAGCCCCTCCATAAATATACTCCTGTGGGGCCCCATACAAGCGCGAGGCCCGGTGCGGTCGCACTGCTTGCCCCCCCCCCTTAGGGCCGACACTGACGATTGTATAGAAATTTCCATTTAACCTAGGGTTCCGATGAGTATCCAATAATGAAAGGTGCAAATTACGGATACGTTTTCGGTTATCATCTTAAAATACGTTTTGTCCTTGAATCACACTGTTGATCGAAATTTGCTACTAAAACACTTTTTTCGACATGGGGTCGCAATGCAAGTGCATTATCTGATGCCATTAATGAAAACTCTGAACCGGAGCTTGAGGCCAGCTCGCTGACCAGCGGTAAATCCGGCAACAGCGTACCGGAAGTACTTCGCGGCGATAACCTGCTTACCCGCACAGTGGACAGATGACCCTGCCGTCCTGGCTCTTGACGCGCACGCATTTCGCGCAGAACGTGTGGAAGCACAGCAGGATGCACGGGTCGGTATAGTAGTCGTCGCACAGGAAGCACAGCAAAGGGTTGCGACTGGAGGCGGTGGAGGCGGACGTACCGTCGCCGGCCGTCGCGGTCGTCGAATCCGCCTCCGGCGTTCCCTGTACATTATTGCAGTTGGACGTCATGCCGTGACGTCGTATTCCTTCCGGCGTAGGTGAACCGTCGAGCGGTGGAGCGTTTCGTTAGTAGGGATACTTGTCGCCAAGACAGGCGCGGACGAAATGACAACAACGGGAGATCGCGCGGGCAGTGCGCTTTTGCGCGTACCGAGACCCCGGTCGGCGACGGTCGACGATGGGCGACGGTCGCCGAGGACCTCGGGACCGAAACAAGCTCCCCCGACAGCATCTTGTATATCGACCCCCTGGAATTATCGGGTGGTGCGAAAAGCGCGCGCACCCGGCTCCGACGGCCTTGGAAGAGAAACGTGATCGCCGACGCCGCCGCCATGGAGAAGATTGCTTTTTGTGAGGTATCGAGTGCGCGCACACCCGCGTTTATCACGGATCGCGTTATTCTCTTTTATCAACGCAGAACAATAACAAAATAAATCGATAATCATAACGAACTACTGTTATAGCTGCTATACCTGGCTGCGGTCATCATTAGATGAACAATAAATAATAATATTAGCGATCGGCTCACTCGTTCGGATAGTAATCGTATTCACAACATACGTCCACAATACGTGTACTCCCATCGGTTATACAAATATATTATCAGTTGGTTCGCTGGTTTTAGCCGTCGTCCACAGTCATACAACAACATTACATTGCCGTATTTCTGTTAAATATGGGACCGAAACCCGAGGACATTTTGAGTGGATTCCAAGTGTAAGTCCACTTCACCGAAGACGATCAATCTACATTTATACTTTGCATAAGTGATGTTATACTCCGTAGTATTTATTAACATATTTTTATTTTTTAGAAATTGGATGAATTTAAGAGACGCTGATACAGGAGTTGTGTTGTGGCAAGGCAATGAGGATCTGTAAGAACAATTTTAATAAATATTGTATTGAGAATTTATTCTCAATTTTACTATTATTCTAGTTCATTACCTGATAAAGAACATGAAGCTAGAGTGCCAAAAAAAATATTGAAATGCAGAGCTGTATCCAGGGAAATTAACTTTTCGTCTGTAGAACCCATGGAAAAACTTAGGTTACAGCAAAAAGTATTATTTAAAGTAAGTGGTATATAAATTAGATAAATATTCATACTATAGGTGCAACTCAAACACAGGTATTGGGGATGTTGAAAATAAAATTGATGGTATTTTATTGTATTATAGATTGAATTAAAAAACACCAGAGGTTCTAAAGATACTCTTGCAATGTATGGTTTCATACTATGAAACTTAAATTATGTAGTTGATAATATATTATTTTGTATTACTCAATTTATATAACTTTGTTTTCAATAAACATAAGTGATTACATTGATGATAGTTCTTGAAAAGTTTTATGTGGCCTATTCATTGATTGTACTTTGGGAAAATGAAATTTAAACTAGTGTATTTTAAACATTTTAGGGTCGCTGTCTGGAAGAATGGTATTTTGAATTTGGATTTGTTATCCCTAACTCGACAAACACTTGGCAATCACTTATTGAAGCTGCACCAGAATCTCAAATGATGCCTGCTAATGTTTTAAAGTAAATATCAACATTTGATTCATATATGTTTATAAATAATCTAAATTTACATACATTATTATTTGAGTTTTGATGTTTTTATTTACAATAAAATATAAATAAACTATAATTTTCAGATCAATTAAAGATAAATTGTGTCTAGATAATAGAGAATAAGTACAACAATAATATTTTGAGAATAATAAAAAAAACTGTCTACAATATTCAAGAGTTAATATATTGACATTTGTTCTTCAAATAGGGTTTCTTGAAACTTAAAATATAAAATTAACTTCAAGCTAATATATTAACTAATATAAGTATAGGTGATATATTATTTTAAATGGTATTTATTTGGACTTCATTTTTTGATAACATAATTTTCTTCAAAATATTTTTAGTATTATATATGAATAAGTAAATATAAAAAATAATATAAAAAAAAATAAATATAATAAATAATAATAATAATAATATATTAAATATAATTAGAAAATGTGTTAAAACCTAAAAGTATTATGTTAAGCTCTTCCTATATGATGATTTTTTTCGTTTTGAATGTCAATTTATTTGAATTATAATAGCTTATATACATGACATAAGCGATGGAAAAATTCTTTAAATCCTTATAGTCTCATTTACTCAGTCACCGTCCAAATATTAATTATACTATTAAATAATCATAAAATGCAAAACTGATTGTTTGATATTTTAAATATTGTAATGAGTGTATATTTTTTTTTTTCAGTGGTAATATTGTGATAGAAACAAATTTCTATGATGATGATCTACTTATTTCGTCATCCAAAGTCCGGTTGTACTATGTATAAATACTAACACATTTGACTTAATACACTACTCAAATGTAGATAGTTTTTGCTTGCTATACATAACTGTGAACACAGAACACAAGTTCTCCAGCTGTGATTATTTAGTTTTTTAATTTAATTTTATATGTAATTTGTTTTTTTAAATTGTTACAAGTGTGAAACTTGTCAATACGCTTTAAACATTCTAAATTTAAAAAATTATGGCCATTGGGTGGCTACACTTGCATTTAATTGTTTATCTTTAATTATACAATGTACACACTAATATTGTTAAATATTGAACTCACTTATTATACAAATTATTATATAATAAATCAACTGTTGATTTATTAAATTATATCACACATGATTAGAATATTCCTTTAATTCTATATTAAATTTTTACTAGAGTGCTAGTCAATAGAATATTATTGTCTGGTACATTATATAATATAATTATATTAATGTATTGTACTTATTAATTATTTTTATTCTGAACAACTATTATGTTTACATTTTTAATAAAAATTTCCAATTAATTTAATTTTTAGTTCCTATTAATTTTGATTGTATATGTATTGTTGTACATTAATAATTGTGTATGTACCATTTTATAACTTATCTTTTTATTTTATAATTTGAAATTGGTTTTTAACATTTGGTTTTCCTACAGATAATATAATACTAAATATGTAATAGTGTTTATGTATTATTCAGTAACAATTAGATTTATACAGCATTTTTAGTTTTACAGAATGTTTAAACACATGCACAGAGTAAAAAATATACATACATTTTACTATCTAATATATTATATTAAATTAAAATTTTCAATATACAAAAAAAATTGAATAATTAATTAATTTCAGTATACTAAAAAAATTGAGTCAAGGAAATTAAATTTAAAATATACTAATTAATATATGTTTACATAATAATTCTGTGTATCCAAGAGTTAAATAAATTTAATTTCCAGTGTTTTAATTACATATCAAATTTGTATTAGATTGTAATAAAATAGCTATTATACACTTATTTGGAACAAATATATAATAAGAAAATATTTAGTTTTGTTGAATATTCAATTAAATATATTATGTTTATATTTAAAAGTACTAATTAGTGATTTCGAAATTTTTACTTAGTTTATTGCCATTTTTATTTCATAAATTTATGTTTATACATCAATATTAACATTTAAAATCAATTAAAACACAAAGTTTAAAAAAAATAATAAATTATTAATTTTCTTAATAATAATTAATAAATAAAAAATAATAATTTTGTATACCTACTCAACAACATTGAACCAAAATGTTAAAATTTTGTTATAAAAATTTATCATAACAATATTACTACATTATTTAAAATAAAATAAAATAGTTTATCATTTTCAAAACACATAATTGAAAAATAAAATTTCAACCAGCATATTTATCATTGCCAAATTGATTTTTTTGTTGCAGTATTTTTAGTAACTACTAAGACTTGATTTATTGATAATTGATATGTAGTAATTAGTAGTGATTTTATTTGAATACTGTTTACAATAAACTATTGACTTGATTTAAATAAATAATAGAGTAGTCATGTATGTTTACACATTATTGGGTAGGTTTTTTTTTTTGTTTTCACTCGATTAACCAAGAGAATATCACTTGTATTTCAGTAAAACTGTTAAATTTAGCCAATGATACCTTATACCAAATAAAATAAATTATTTCTTGAAATTATGGATGTTTGTCTTGTATTAAAAAAATTTTATTTTAAACTTTTAATTATTTTTTTCTTTTGTGAACTTTAATCCATTAATGATGTATTTGCCTTTAGGATTAATTATAAAACAAAAATAACTTTTTCTTAGGGACAAGAAAAACAAATTCAAAGTATACATTTTACATACCTTTTTAAATATTGTTATAATGGAACATTCAATTTTCAAATTATGTTTGCTAAGCATTTTGGATATTTGAGTATAAAAGAGATTATTTCTGATAAAATATTTATTTTTTATTTTTTAATATTGCCCATAATTTATTTCATAACATCAAAAACTATACTTATGAAGCATGTTTAAAATATTTTTGCGAATCAAATGACATATGTTCTTTGTAAAAAAAATTTCCAATAATTATAATAAGATAAAGAATAGAAAACTATTTAAATAATGTTAACAGTTTATAACTGTTTATTCAGAAAAATTTAATCTTTAAGATCAGGGATGGCCAACCCGCGGGCAGCATATGGCTCCTTATGGAAAGTTTACGACCTGCAAGATTTATTAAACATTTACAAAAAAAAAAAAATTCATAATCGCAAGAAACTGTTTGATTCATCAACAAAATCTTTGTTCCCAAGTATTATCGATGAACTACGTTATGCAAGTAGTCAAAAAACAGTGAATTACATTTGATCACATGCATTTCCTCACCGAAAATTTAAAGAATTCTTGAAAGAATTGGATTCAGAATACTGTGATAAAAACAATAATTCATTCTGTTTATTTTAAATAATTAATACACCAAAACTTATTTTATAATAATTATAATTAATTATAGTTAATCCTGTTTAAAATGTTTACTCCAAATTGTTTAATATTGGAGCAAAATTCTAATAAAATTTTTTATGTGGTCCACAGCATCAAAATGTAATTGCAAAGTGGCCCGCAAGATCATTTGGGTTGGCCACCTCTGTTTAAGATGAATACTTAAAAAAAAGGTATTGTTAAAGCTGTAAAAACTGTTAAAATTACATAAGTTAAGCTTAGAAAAACTTGGTCAAACACTAAATTGAGCATTTTGAAAATGATAAACTATTTTATTTTATTCTAAATAATGTAGTAATATTGTTATAATAAATTTTTATAACAATATTTTAACATTTTGGTTAAAATAAAAAATTATTATTTTTTTTATTCATTATTTAGATGTCTTATCTAAATCTAAACCTCTTGTTTTTTGAATTATTTTCGTGTATGGAGATCCCAGCAAGGCTTCACCCTTATCAGCTTCAGGATATTTATTTGGAGTTACAGGTTCCAAAATTGTGCTTTTATTCTTTTTTGGTGTCTTGGGTTCCTTAATTTTTTTACTTCTAGTTGGAGACCGATAAGAATTGATTCGACCATTAGTCTGTCTAAAATTATATCTTCCTGGGTTTGGTTTTTCTTCCTTGGTTTTAAAAGCCCCTGTACAAAATTTTTCACATGAATAACATTCACAGTAAATATTATTTTCACCAAAGAAATTTGAACTATAAAAGCATGTTATTTCTTCACCAGGTTCAATATCTTTGAGTACTTTAACACAAGCAGTTCCCTTATCATTAGCTACGAATTTACAGTTTGCTCGGCAATCATGGTTAATATATGCTGCAGGACCAAGCCAAAGTTGAGCACACTTTTTGCGGCAACTATACATCACTGAAAAATCATTCTTACCAATATGTAAGATTTCATCTTCTTCTTCTTCTGTTAGCTCAGCTACAGACCCAACTAATTGTTTAATAATGTCACCTCTAAACCAAAATCTCGAGGCAGTTATTTTGGCTCCTACTTTATTTTCTAATGAATATCTATGACATGGTTCAATTTTAAAACCAGAATCTCTGTAGAATATACCTAAATACCTTTCAATATGGTCTCGGACTAATTTTTTATAGGACCCTTTGAATAAATGACTAGGTATACACTTTTTATTCCATAAAGCATTTAAAGCTTTTTTCATTTGTTGATTTTGTATAAAATCTTCAATAATAGGTTTTAAATCTGATTTACATGTATACATTTCTTTATAATTTACATCCATTTTGTGTGTATTAAACCCAAGAAAAACATCAACAACTAGAGATGTGGCTAAATCATCAATATCACACAGGTCTTTAGGATTCATAATTGATTTACCTGTAAACAAATTTCATAAAGCTATTATAGGTGTAATTAACTATAAATTTTAATTAATTATTAAGAACTATTCAAACTACTTGGTACACAATCTAGGTTGTAAGTCATCAGTACAAGTACATTTTATTTATTCATATTCATATATCCTACACTGATAGCATTAAATGGAACACAGAGCAATATTTTTCAGTAGTAATCAACTATTTAAAACTATTTATTTCAACGATAGGTACATAATTACCAAATCATTTGTATTGAACATAATATGCAATTTTAGAGTGTAAAGCAAAATAAAATTGCAGAACGAGTTAATATCTGGGTTTTTTATATCTAATAATAGACAGTGGCTATTGTTGGTTAATATCTGCGCAGTAAGATTTTAAATTAAATACCTAATTAAATCTGCGTCACAAAGGTACGTATCGATTTCACCTTATTACCATACTTTTTTCAACACGATACTAGAACTGGTGAATTAGAGAAAAATAAAAAACCGTTAAAAGCTGCCACGAACGGTTTATTTGAAACAAACGCGAAAGTAAAATAAACCATTGTGGACGGAGAAAGATGAGTCGCAAACGGCGTATGGGAAAAAGAAAAGACACGTCCCCACGCGATGTTCTAGAGGAAACCTCATGAGAAGTCCGACTGCATTATCGGACACTGCTTCAGTAGTTGGAACTCAATAAACATTTAAAAAGAACTATGAAGCCCTTAACACATACAATGCAATGTTCAACAACTTAAAATTATATAACCTTACTTGTTAAAGCAATTTAAAAATGATTCGTATGAAATAATTTTTTTAAAAAAAAAAAACAGAAAATATTAAATATCTAGGTATTATACTCAACAATATATGAAATGTATTCAAATTCAAAATTTAATATTAAAAATGAATAAATCTAATTACTTTTATATTCATGCTAGAAAATTATTAGAAAAATCAAAATTGTGTAGGTAAGGTATATTTTGCAATGACTTAATCAATACTTCAAAAAGGTAATACTGCTTGAGGTAGACTTGGAATAATGACATACAAAAAATTACAACAGTACAAATATACACAATACTACATACTTACGACGACGTTATCTAGATGGTTTTCGACGCGTGCCCACGGTTGCGGATTATGTTTTGTGTTATATTTTAATTTTTTGAAATTTTTTGGGTAACGACGATCAACCGTGTACAGTGGCGATACCGCCCCACTGAAAAGATTATCAACGATCAACGCCGCTGAGGCGCGTGCCGTGATCAGCTTAGGAGCCTCGAAACCGTTAACGTTTTGGTCGATAGGATGTAGGTGCGAAGAGGTGTATTCGACAACAACGACAACAACTTTGCTGGCGATAATGGCTGATAACAGTGATATTCGCGTCAGCTGATCGTGTTGCTGTTATTGGGTCGCTGTCTGCGATCTCGAGTTGGTCAAATTTTCCATTTCCTCTCCTCCGACCGCGTCCTAGAAGATCAATTGAGTTTTTCCCCAGTTTCTACGCTTCCCGCTCTTTCCGAACCGGTGAGCCGGCGGCACGTCTAGAAAGTAATATATTATCACTATCAACCGGCGATGAGGGCGTGTCAATTGTTCAAGGCGCTTTACAGCAAGTCTGCGTTGTATGCCGGTTTCGAGCACGGCGTAGTTGGATGTTGCGCTTCTCAGAAGTTCGTCACGAGCAGAAGAACCATGGTGAGTGCTTTGTTGAATGACCCATTTATCAACCATTGAGATGGTTCAATCAGTCCTACAGTGTTTATCGTTCGGGACGTCGAGTTCCGCAAGAAACATTGGTAACCTTCATCTGTGTTTCAGGCGTCCATATGCGATGTTGGTGTCCGAAAGGAGTCTGACACGTTCGGTGAACTTGAAGTACCCAGCGATCGTTATTATGGTGCTCAAACAGTACGGTCAACAATGAACTTTCGTATTGGTGGCGAAAAAGAACAGATGCCGGTAAGTGTTCATCAATTAAATTATTCCATTGTAAATAATCAAGTTAAAGATTTAAAAAATTCAATTCATGTGTAAACTAAAACGAGTTTTCATTTTACTTTTCTAACCTAGTATGTGGTTTGGTTTCAAAATTTAATATTCTGATATAAACCATTCAAAATAAGTTCAGTAGGTTAAATATTACTTAAAATTAGAATAGGTACATAACCTATTGGTAATTCAGTTGGAATTTTTAATGATTAGAAAGTTTTAATATTTATTTTATAAATCAAATGTATGTACCAGTCATAATGCTGTGGCAAGTTATCTTCTACCAAAAAAGGTTCTGAACCACTGCAAGCAAAACATGATCATTTTGACTTTCATCTTTGTTCTACACATACAAATTGAAAGTAAAATATTGATTTATATTAAAATCAATTATTTAAACAAGATAAAAATGTATACAATTATTAAACAAGCTTTGTAAATACCTATCTTTATATTGTATTATTTTAGTTAATAATATTGAAGTATAATTAGTTAATATTGGATTGCAAAAATTATTTTTTTAAATTTTATGTTGGAATACTTAATTCTATGTTTGATATTTATTAAGTAATATTTGTTCAGTGATATTATGTAGTCATATTAACTTAAATATTATTTTTTTAAAAATTAAAATTATTGCTCTTTTCGCCTTTAATAAGTCTTATATAATTATCAAATAATAAAACTATAAGTTCCTACAATTAATTTAATTGTAATTGAAATATTTTCCTTTTTTTCAGTACCCTGTAATTGTAGCTATGGGTATATTAAAAAAGGCTGCAGCTGAAGTAAATAAAGAATTTGGCCTTGATGCCAAAATTGCTGATGCTATAAGTAAGGCGGCAGATGAAGTAATTAGTGGAAAACTCTATAATGAAGGACATTTTCCTTTGGTTATTTGGCAAACTGGTTCTGGTACTCAGTCAAATATGAATACTAATGAAGTATGTATTTTGTATTTATATAGTGGTTACATTATTAAGATAAAAAAAATAGGTATAAAATATAATTATATTACAGGTAATCAGTAATAGAGCTATTGAAATTTTGGGTGGACAATTAGGATCAAAAACTCCAGTTCATCCGAATGATCATGTTAATAAAAGCCAGAGTTCCAATGACACTTTCCCAACAGCCATGCATATTGCAGTTGCTATGGAAATAAATAATTTGTTGTTGCCCTCCCTAAAACATCTGCATAATGAATTAGATAAAAAAGCCAAAGAGTTCTCTGGTATAATTAAAATAGGCAGAACTCATACACAAGTAAGAATGATTTGTTTTAATTTAATTTAATTATATAAAAGAGAAAAATACTATTATAGATTACATTAAATGTCTTATGTAATCTGTGGTACTTTATGATGATTCTGTGTTCACTCACAAAATAAAATATGTTTTAATAGTTTCTTAACGTGTCTAAACCAACAAAAATATTTATAATCTATTTTTATATCATAATATAGTTCTTAAACAAATCATTAAAGTGTTTTTCTATAAATTATTTAATTTTTATCAATACATGTTAATATGGTATAATTAAAATATTAATAGATTAAATAAAGTTAATTTTTTATTTTTATTATTTATTAATAGATTTTTCATGTACTCATTAAATTATTTGTGTAGGATGCTACACCATTAACTTTGGAACAAGAATTCAGTGGATATGTTAGACAACTTCACAATGGAATTAAAAGAGTAGAAAATACTTTGCCTCATCTGTATGAATTAGGATTAGGCGGTACAGCTGTTGGAACTGGCTTGAATACTAGAGTTGGCTTTGCTGAGAAATGTGCTGATAAGATAAGCGAGTTAACTAATTTGCCATTTAAGAAATCTCCTAATTTTTTTGAATCATTGGCTGCCCATGATGCTATGGTAGAAGTCTCTGGAGCATTAAATGTACTCGCATGCAGCTTGATGAAGATTGCTAATGATATCAGATTCCTTGCATCTGGACCCAGAAGTGGATTAGGAGAATTATCATTGCCAGAAAATGAACCAGGAAGTAGTATTATGCCTGGTATGTATTTATACATTATTGCTCTTTATTTATGTCTATTATGTGTATTGAAATCTTGTTTTAATATTTTAAATAAGGGAAGGTAAATCCTACCCAATGTGAAGCAATTACAATGGTGTGTGCTCAAGTAATTGGCAATCATGTAGCTGTAACAGTTGGTGGTAGCAATGGTCATTTTGAGCTGAATGTTTTCAAACCTATGATTGTTTCCAATGTTCTGAGATCTGTAAGACTATTAGCAGATAGTGCTATGTCATTTACCGACAATTGTGTTGTTGGTATTGAAGCTAATAAGGAGAGAATCAATCATCTCTTACAAAACTCACTTATGTTAGTAACTGCCTTGAATCCTCATATAGGATATGATAAAGTAAGACAATTTATCGCCTATTATTACAAATTTAGTGGGTATTCATAAAAATAATTTTTTAGGCTGCTAAGATTGCTAAAACTGCTCATAAAAATGGTTCTACTCTAAGAGAAACTGCAATAAAACTTGGATACTTAACTGAAGAAGAATTTGATAAATGGGTAAGACCAGAAGACATGCTAGGACCCAAATAATGAGTTTAATTCATTCTAGGTGCACAATTACTTTAATTATTTTTAAATGTACTTTTTTTTTTCTGATGAATGTATTTGGTATTTCAATACAATGAGAAAATAAAAATAAATTGAAATACATCTTTATAGTTAATAAACTAATTTGTTTAATTTTTCCATATTTATTTTTACCTTATAATTCTTGTGTACATTGTGTGGCAGAAATCATAAATTAGTATTATATTTTTAAATAGTACATTTCTATAGAAAAAATTATCTTTAGAAAATATATTACTTGGTTGATTCAATGAATTTTTGTTAAAGCTCGTCATATTTTATGTTAACATTAAATTTATATGTCCATGAACTTGTCCTGTAAAATTAATTATATCAATGAAAAAGGTTTATACATTATTATTTTTTTTAAAAGTTTATACTTTCAATCTACTGTTGCTCATTTAGTGATGTCAGCTAAGTGTACTGGAGTAACTCACATCAATGAACATTTTGTTGGTATAATAGTGATAAAAATACAGTATTAAACAATATTGAACAAGTAGTTAAAATAAAATTTTAGAAGCTTGTTGATATTTTGAATACAATTCAATTTAATTGAGAATAGGTTTTCTACTATGTTAGTTTTGGGAAGCTCCATAAAAACATTTATTTGAGCATAATAATAGTTATAATAATAGGTCCTTATTGACAATTTTTAATTTATTGCTTAATAGATTATATTTTTGAATTGAATACAATTTGAGTTGATTGTCAGTATATGTGGCATTGTGATTAAATATATTAATTAATTTATGGTTGTATCCAATTAAATGTTAGATTTAAAAATATTGGTAATTATAAAGCAATATGTTGACACTTTTTTTTATGTATCAGCTATACACCTGCTACTTGGAAATGCCTATTTATAAAATTATAATTTTAAGGTATGTACAGATCACTACACAAATGGCAACAAATGGTTGCTAGTATTGCGTGTACTGAACTCATAATATTTGTAAATGTTCGGTGAACAGCAACTGTGTTGAGAAAATCTGTTGCCAGAATATGTATGAGCGGGCATGTTGACTATTCAATATTAGTAATTACATGAACAATTTTTACAAATACTTGTTTATGTCATGTGTTCATCCTGTTTGTCAAGCAAAATGTTGTTTCTACAAGCTTTATATTTTCTAAGGCCTCTTACACACTGAATCTATTGGATACTGATTAATTAACTGAATTTATTATCAACACATTGTCTTTATCCTTACAGGTATAGTTTTTTTTATTAATTAAAAATAATTTGTTTAAATGCAATTCAATTTGCTAACACAGTATAAAGTTACATTTTTCAAGTTTTCTAAATGTGAAACACATTTAATGATAATATGTGATAATTAGTGAATGTTTCTTGTAAAAGTAGTAATATAATTTAACCATATAGATCTTATAAAAAATGTATTTGGTTAAGACCAATATATTTCTAATAAGGGTTTAGAATTCAGTCTAAAATTTAACTAGACAATACAATACAATATGAAATATACTTCAAATTTAAAAAAACGTATGCATTTACATTGGATAAAACTAAAAACACAACATATTTGAATATTGAAATGACATATATTTCAAACTAAATAACTTAAAATTTTAACATAGTTTGCCAACAAAAAGAGTAAAAAAAAGGAAACTCAATAACTCTCTTATCATAATACAAAATAAAATATTTATTATTTAGTACAAAAATAAGAAAAAAAAATTATTTGTGTCTTCTCTGTGATCCATTTTGTGATTTGTTTCCATTCTTAGGACGGCTCCTTCTTTTTTTCAGTAGTAATTCCCAATCTTTTCGTACCAACATATAAAGCTGTAATGCTGCTTTGGCATCTTGTACTGAACTATGCTCACCTTCTTGTATACTAGCTCCAAGAAAATGTAATGTCAATCGTTTGAGACCAGGTCTTCGGCCTTCTGTCAATTGCTTGAACTGCCAATATGTTGACGTATCCCTAATCATATGTTTAGGATGTGAAATTCTCAAAACCTTCAAGTCATGTTCTATCGCATGACCAACTAACAACTTATTTTTGAGTATTTGTAAAACTTCTTTTTTAACTTTAGTAAATATTTCACCATTTTCAATGTCCTCTGGTCGAATACCACTCACTGGTGTTCGGTAATCAGTTACACTTTCTGTGGGTTTAACGAATTTATCATAAATAGTTTCCCCTTTAGAATTGACAATTGAAACACGAGCTAACATACTCGCTTGGCCATCATCATGTATGCCGACCATTTCACAATCGATTGCTACAACTTCGATTTCTTTTTTCTCCGGTTTCTGAAAACAGTGTGAAGCGTACACAAGGTCAATGAACAATATCATAATGAAGTGATTAATTAATTTTTTAATTTTTACATCTAGACATTAGAGAACGTTTAATACACCTGTACGATGGACTTTTTCAAATTACTAGTTGGCGGCGGCGAACTATTGGTGAACTTCAGCCAATTGTTGGCACCGTTCGCATTTTTGTGTACCGTCGAAGCGACGCTTTTGTTCATCTTGGCAGCGGAGCCGAGTCAATCGGACGGGAAAATATCACAATCGTTCACGCCAACGCGATATAAACGGGGAGAGCGTTTAACGACAACCTAACAGTCTAACGGGCTTGTAGACCGAATCACGTGTGAACTCGTTTTGTAGATGAACCACACTAATGATAACTGTTGAACTTGATCGCCGACGTTGTTGATAAGAGTTATCATGTTGTCGGGCCTGCGATAACGAGGAACGTCCAATGGAGGAGAAAACACGCGGCCCCGTCGTCATGCGAACGGAAACAACGTAACCTCGAAACGTGATGGCCGGAGTAGTGGCGAATATCAGTCATATATAATATTATACGGTTTGTAACGTTGGAATTTTATATCTATTTTCGGTTACACGACATGAAATAACCACCGATTGTGCTAACGGGCGGCTATGAAAATAGTACGGGAAAAAAACAAATAAAACAATAACAACAAACGATAACGTCAAACCGATTCAAATAAAGAGTAATAATAATAATAGGTAATATTAATCTTTCTAATATTGTCGAACAGTGAGAGTCGTGCCGCGGTTTCCTAACGAGCAGTTTTGCCGTTCTCGCGCGTTTCCATACGGGTCGAAGCGGTCGTCGTTCCAGTTTCGTCTCGTCGTCATCCATCGGCGTCGACGGGACACCGGATGAGAACATTTCAAAACCAACGACCAAACTATTATTATTAATATTATTGTGTTCACCGGATTTCGTCTCGAGGAAACGTCGCCGACGTACGTGTGGTCGCAGAGTTGCACAAGTAAGTTTCTTACACATCGTTTCAAGGCCGCCGTCTTTCAGTGAAATAAAAAAAAAATATAATACTTTTACTCTCGTTCTCGCAATAGTACCATGATAATAGTCATATTGTTATGCGTGTGTAGGCTGTGCAAGGTACACTCGTACCTACTCTCACGGTTGCCATCGCGTAGTCGAATTTCGTTCGTTTTCCGCAGCTCCGTTACCGTTGCTCACGCGGTGATAGTAATAATAATAATAATAATAATAATAGTAATTTCTATTATTATTATTCGGCACGAGACCATTGACACGGCGGCAAACGACGTCGAATCGCCGCCAGAATACGGTTATTCAATAATATTATTGTAATCAATTTTCTCACCGGTCCATTCATTATTCGAACGTCCGTCCACTGTGCGTGCGCGTACGCGATTCATTATGTTTATCATTATTTGTATCTAGATCATTGTTGTTGACTATCTCGTTGCTGAACACGACGACGTGGGTTTCTTCAAGGTAATGCCCCATGGGGTGTCTAGCGTTTTTGAACTGAGCCGCGCGATTTTTTCGTTCTTATATTATTCTTGCTGTTGATCTGAGAATGCGTCGTTCCTCGACATAGGTATTCGTCGTGCATTCGTTAACACATTCGTTAACATTCGATATTGTGAGTACCTGTTAATAGTTCTAGATAGTGTTTTCATATTTTACTATTCGCCGTCTTTCAACACCCAAGTTTTATGTTGTCAACGTTTTTTAAATTCCTATCAGAAAGTCACTGGAAGTGAACGTACTGATCTTGTAATGATGTGTTGTTGTTGTCTACTTGAAGAATGTACAGGTAAAATATAAAAACCCTTATCAATTGAATGTTTTGCTTTGGATTTTTTGTTTAAAATAAAAAACATGTATATTTTGGATTTACTATTGAAAGCCAAAACCTTCTAAGAATGGTTGGGAATTTTTGAATTATATCTCTGATTATCAATAATATTTTTTCTCACATTTCAATTAGTTGGTCATTGAATGAGTCACTGAAGCTGATTTTTGCCTACTGGAATTTGCTAAAATTGACCTTTTGATAATAGATAATACTCATAAATTTAATTGCTACAGCATGATTCTATTTTTTTTTTTTTTTTTTTTGACTATTACTAATTTATAATCATTAGTTTCAGTATCAAAATTATCATTCATCTCTTGTATTAATAAATTAAATATTATTTGTGTAAAATTAAGAAGAACATTTTTTAAACATTCATCTTTTGTGATTACTAAATTATTTATAAGTAGTAGACATTTATATCACTATGGTACTTATGTTATGATAGGTAGGTATTTACAATTTATTCGATTAAGCTTTTTGGTAGGCATATAACTAATTTAAAAATTATAAAAACAGGTATATAAAAAATTATTCAATAAATATTTTGTTGACTACTTGAAATTATTTAAATAAATTATCGAGTTACTATTTTGATATATAGGTTAATGTAGTTACCTACTTAACAATAATAAAAAGTACAGTCATCAACATGTATAACTGATATATTTTGTTTACCTTAGTGATATTTTAAATGTAAACATTACCACCAAGTCTAATTTGCCCTATAGTTGTGTGTTTTTAGTGATGAACCAACAGTTAAATTTTGTTTACAATTTTAAAGTATTAGAAAAACAAATATTCAATAATTAGACCTATCTAAAATTTTATTTTTGTTGTAGTGTATTCTATTAATTATTCTTTTCTTATTCTAAATATATGTGTAAACTTTTTTTTTTTTAATTAGTTTATTATTTTGTTATTTTAGGCACTTTTGGTTTTACTGAATGTCAATTTTTCAAGTTCTTCTAAATATAGATTTTTATATACAACTTTACTTAACAAAATTGAAATATTATTGATTCTGCACATAATGGTTTCTATTGTAAACACAATTTATATCTACTCAAAACAATATAAAGTATATTCAAATAAAAATTAAACTATTAACTTACTTTTAAGATATAATGTTTATTTCAAATGTTTAATGGTATCTGTTAAATTAAATTTAGAAAGAAAAAAAATTAGTGAACCGTCATATTTGTTTAGTTCATACAATTGGTTGTTCTTATACTATCATAGATTTTTTTTGATATTTATTCATTTTTATTTTGAATTTGATTTAATTTGGTTAAATTGTAATTTTTTATTAATCCACTGTTTCTATAAACTTTATAAAATTATAATATCTATTTTTAGTAATAATTTGCTTGTTAATTCTTATCAGAATTTATATTTTCTATAATATTTTAATTGAGTGAATTCAACAGGAATGATGAAGCTGATCAAGTTATACCTGTGAGCCATTGTGGCAGTAATGAGTGCCAGAGAAGCAACAGATGACCGCTTCATCAACGATCCCATATTAACGGGTAAAAAGCCACCATTTATGCTGAAACCACCATCATACGTCAACATATCTAGATCTATAAATGGCTATACATCATCTTTAACTCAGTACGATAGAAAGAAAAGAGAAGGACGTTCCAGAGATTGCAGCCCGATCAATGTACGTACGGTAAATAGTGAAATGGACGATCAAAATTTTATAACCAAATGTACTATTACTGATACAGTTGATTATAGAACTGAATCACCTAGTTCAATAGTTGTTAACACAATTCATAGACTTTATGGTTCTAGTGTTAAAATATCACCTAAGGAAAAAAAATTAAATAACATTCCTACATCAACTGTATTACAAGGTGAACATGCTGATTTGCCTGTCTTAAAGTTGCTCAATCCACAATTCCGGGCTAAATTAGTTGTAAATAAGTATTCACCTCCCAAGAAAACAAAACCACTTACAGTTACTAATGGTATTGACAAATGTATTGAAGTAGAAGATCATGGTGGAAATTATTTTATAAATTTAGTAAATTTAGAATGTGATATAATAAAAAAATTAGTATCACAAGTAGAATGTTTGTTACCAATTGCTCCTGAATATGGTCAAGATCGTATTCAAGCAATTGTTGGTAAATCAAACCTGTTAATGTCTCAAAAAATTAAGCAGTTCCTTGGTTTATGTGAAAATAACATAACCCGTTCAGTTGATGATGTATCTAGACCCAAAAGTAATGATTTAGAAGGGTTTTGGGATTTGGTTAAGATTCAAATAAATCAAGTGAAAACTGAAATGGAAGCAATTATTGAGCTAAGCAATAAAGGATGGCCTGAAGATGATGACAAGAGCAAAAAAAAACTTACCAAAACTATTAAAGTAAAAACGAAAGCAATAAAGCCAGCTGTCTCAAATTCTAAGTATGATGCAGCTCGTAGAAAAGCAATTGAAGATCAACGCAAGGCTATGAAAAACTTAAAAAATGAAGACGTTATATTTTTTTAACAATAATCAATTTTAAAATTTAGACTGTAATATTATGTGTTAATGAATATTTTATTTAATTAATCATTGTTTAACTTTTTGATTTTATATTTTTGTGTATGCCATTTGCATTGTAAAAACATTATTTTTAATTTTTCATCAAATTTTATAAAAATTAAAGCATATTGTTAGTTTAAATTATGTTGGTTGAGTATTTTTAACTTTAAAAACAAGTGCACTTAGATAGTTTGAATACATTTTGTAATTAGCTTTAACCAAATCATAATATAAGATGTAACCAATAAGACAATTTTAAAATTTAATTTTTATATGAATAAAAACCTAAATTTTAACTAATTAAAACTTTTTTGATTTTTATGCCTTATTGTTTGGCCCATTATATGTTATAGAATTGTGTCATTCATCAAAGTTTTTTAAATGTGCTCTGACTTATTGAATTATAGTTAATAATACATAAATATATGCTGCTTTTATGTATATATATATGTGTGTGTGTGTGTGTGTGTGTGTGTGTGTTTGTGATGTATTAAGTTTTTATCTAATTAAAATTTTTAATAATTTGTATGCTAAATTTTAGGTTAATAGAACTATTATAAAAATTATATTTATGTACTTTTATTATGATTTTATTGATGAAAATATGCTATTATCAGGCTAGTTAGATATAGGATGAATACCAGTTATACAGAATAACATATAAAAACTGAGACCTATGTGTCTATGTATAATTACTAGTGCTTGTTGAATATTTTTTTCCGTAATCACAAAGGCAATTGGTAATATTTGTTTTATGATTCTAATAATATTGATTGTTGTTCAAGACATAATTTATAAATTTAAATTTATAATTTATAAAGACATATTTTATTTTTCTTGAATTTGTATTTTAGTAGATTACGCATTCAATAACTTAGGTTCTTAGAGTATACATATTGTTGTTTGGTGATTGCATTAATATTTATTAATAAATAATTTTCATTGATACGGTAGTAGGTATTTTTGATGATCATTCTTTAATTGTCAATTAATATTTACGTATTCAGCACGTATCTTTATGTAATTTTATTGATTCATATTATATTTAAATTGATAATTGTTTGAAACAGAAACGTTTTTTTCAATTATAATCTTATTTATTTTTTGTACACGAACATTTTGAATATTTACAAATATTAAAACATTAAAAATTTAAAATACTTATCTAATTAAAATGAAAATAGCCGTTAAATATTTTTATTTTGTAACTTTTAAATACAACATATTTTACAAATGTTTTTAATCATTATAAAAAACCACATGGTGTATAAATCTTTATTTTATAGTACTATATTACCTACTTCAACTTTGCTAATAAAATTACCTATATTCAGAGTAAGGCATTATTTAGATAACATTTTATTCGAATAAATATTATAATAAATATTATTCTAATGAATTTTTGACAGTTATTTGAAAAAAAAAAATCATTCGAATAATTTAAAAAAATAATTATTCGAATAAAAAATGATTTGAAAATTTTTTTAATAATACACCACTGTCGTTATCAGGCCCCATTGAAAAATTATCTTACGCAACTATAACCAATTTACCGAAATGCAACAAACTGTTAGATGATATGTTTGAACAAAGAGTAATTTTTAAATTTAATGTAAAGACATATATTTAAATTGAAATAAAGATGGTAATAAAATATTTTTTATTGAAATTTAAATGCATTTTAAATATTATTTCATTTTTGTTATTATTATTTATTTTGTTGTAGTTATTATTAAATTATTATGACAAACAAATACATATTATTTTCATTATAAAATGCATTCATCAATTCATGATAAAACATATCTAATTTAATTATTTATATATATATATAATATATATATATATATTATATTATATTTATTTATATTTTATAATTTTCTTCTTTTTGTATTCAACTTATGGTTGGTTTTACAGTCGGATATGCGCTCTTTACTTTTACCTGTTTTTAACTAATGTCTTCAATTTACTTGCTTGATAGTCTTGCATCGGTAATCATTTGTTTGACAAATTAAGTTCTTGGAGGTTTTAGGTCTCTCTTTCCTTCAATTTTCCCTTCTATTATTTTATAAATTACTTAATTTTTGTGTCTCAAAATGTAATCAATCATGTTGCATCGTCTTGATTTGATAATTTTGAGTGTCTCTGCTTTCCTATATTTCTCTGAATATACTTTTGTTGGTACGGTGTTCTATTCAACTCACCCGTAACATCTTTCTTCTACACCACATTTCAAAGCTCTCGAGGATTCGTTGTTTTGCTTTGAGCATCAAGTTTCATGCATATATTTTTATGAAGAGTTTCTTTGCCTACTCTAATATTCATGCTATTGGAGCATAAAAATGAGAAAAATATTTTCTTATTCATATACGCTGACTTTACCTATGTGATTAGACTAGATCTTGCTTCCATTATGCATTTGCCGTCTTGGTTAATTGAATTGTCTTGGTATTTAAAATGTTCAACTTGTTCAAGCATTCGATTCCCTGCTTGGATTTAATATTAATGCTTTGGAATTAATATTAATTCTACAGATTCGGTCTTATGCACACCATAACTTTAGTTTTTTCCCAGTTTATAATCAATTGATATTTTTATCAACGTACCGTTACTTATTTTGTTCGTCCATTATGACATATGAGCTTAGGTTTAAAAGTTGCTATAACTTGTTCAATATCAATATTCTATGAATTTTTCTTATTCTATAAATATGCTGTCAACTATCCATTTAACAGTTCTTTTTTTAATATGTTAATTAGCTTAATTTTTATTTTTATTGTAGGTAATTTTATTATACTAATTTTTGATTAGTTTTTATACACGTAAAAATGGTGACTACTAATTACTAATTAGTATGTATACTCTTGGTATTTCCATCTGAAAATACTCATCCATTCTTCACATTCCATGTAATTAGCTATTAAAAAAAAAAAAATACAATTTTCAGCCATGATAGTTTTCTTTAATTATTTTTTAAATACAGTGGTCGCCGCTTAATGTAATCACGTTGGTACGAGACATAACCGATAACATAATCCGATTGATAACATTAAACGAAAGTTATAAATAATAATAAAACCTACGTTAAATAAAAAAAAAAATGAATAATGTAGTGTTGCGTCAAATTTTGTAATCATAATACATAGTTATTAAAAATATAAAATTAAAAAAATTAAATTAAATGTAAATAAATATGTATAATATGTAAAACGATTTTATTATTTAATTGTTTATCCCTCTTTATTAATCACTCATTAAAAATAACTGACTGTCATCCAAGCATTTGTGTTCGTATAATAATCAACTGGTAAACATTTTACTGATTTAAAACAACGAGGATTTTTACGTTTCCCTATAACCAAAAGTTTTTGTTTTTTACCTAACATACTTGTACAACATAGGACAGTGATGCGCTCTTTTGCTATTTTACAGCATTTTGCGTTTTCATTTTTGAATAAATAACTATGCTCAGGCAAGGCACGATAAAATAATCCAGTTTCATCAGCATTATAAGCATTGTCGGGCGTATATTCTGAAATAATTTTTGACCATTCAGTTTTTATCCAATTTTCTGCTGCCGAGAAATCTGCGTCTTTTTATTCTCCATACGTTCATTTGTATACAATATTTTCACGTTTTATCCAGCGATGAAACCATCCTTCTGAGGCAATAAAATTTTCTATACCCATTTTTTTTTGCAAGTTCTTCAGCTTTTTGACGCAATATTGGACCATTAATGCATGCATCATTTTTTCTAACATTAATAAACCATAATGTTAATGCTGATTCAACCTGTTCTTCTTTCTCACTGCGTATCCTCTTTATGTTTGGATTTTTAAATAATTTAGTGTTGCTAAATTTTCTATTTCAATTCGTTTTTTTAATAATTTATACAATAATGGTTGGGAAATTTGTAGTTTTATAGCTGCTTCTCATTGTCCCATTTTTGGTAAATTGTCGTAACGTTGTAGAATTAAAATTTTATCATAAATTGCCAGGTCACTTATTTTTTGTTTTTCACTCATTTTTACTCACACGCGATACAGATACATACAAACGTGATAATGGTCGACGGGCAGCAACGATACTATCTTAATGCTATATGAACTAAAGGTAGATAAATATACGGTAAATAAATAACAGTATAGACATTTATATTCGAGACATTCGACGAAAACTTTGTATGTTACAAAATTATGATTTTATGACCTCAAACTGATAATATTATGAGGCGTATTGATTACAATAACCGTCATAATTTACACAAATAAGTATACATCCGGCCCGTACTTATACTTTTCGATAACAATAAACGTTTGATAACATTAAGCGGCGACCACTGTATTGTCATATACCTAGAAGGTATCAGAATATATAAACTTATTTTTATAAATACAAAATAATTTATCTTCCCGCAGACACGCGGCCTTTGCACATTACGCCGAAATCCTAATAAATGAACACTATATAAATGTAGTCATAATTTAAAAAAAGTGAACAGGCAGAAAAATTAATAATATTTAATTTTTTGTATTTTCTTTAAAATTAAAAATTAAAATTAATTTTTCTTTTTTTTTAATGGAATTGAAAGAAAATATTACTTTTTGTTTCGTTCAGTAAATATGTAGTATTACAAACTTTTTAATTGAATCTCCTGATGCATCTCCTCTGTTGGCTTTAAACAGTTACAGAAATGAAACATGTATACCTTTATAATAACAAGAAGAGACCATGAGTGGTAGGATATTGGTACAGTCGAGGTTAAAATATCGAAAAGGAACTCCGCAGCAAATGTGGTGAAAATAAAAATGATATAGAATAAAGGTTAGTAAAGGGGATCGATGAAAATTTTATTTATTCTCAAAAATTTGCTAAAAAGTCGCTCGCTCTAAAGATCAAAATGAGTAAGGGCATAAAATATACGTACATTCAAGAGAAGTGTGATTTTTTCTTCCTTAAAAATTGTATAAAATTCTACTAATGTTCATTTTTTTTTGTTAA